CTCAAACCTTCATCGTGAGATCGACGCAATATTTCATTATTTGCACGTGAGTCCTCAAACTTGCTTTTACCACATTTATGCCTTTTTTCGCTTGTTTTTCCTAATTTCCACCACGATCATCATTATTGTCCTGTAAACACATATTACATCGAATTAAGCTATATTCCACACATTTATCGACAATTATCCATGTTTGTGGCCTATAATAAGTGTATAAAAATGCACTTATCAAATAGCGTGCCTTATAGATTCGAGCCACCAAGGATGTAGGCTGTGTTATTAGTTTCCAGCCGAGCTTACCTCCGAAATCCAGTTTCCATGTTGATCGTTGAGGCGCTGGAATTCATTCAATCGTTTACGGGAAGAGGCCGCCTTATGGGAATATTTAGTGTTTGAGTCTCCCTCTTAATTAGTGCACAAGTAAATTAGTGACACTTGTTGATTTCCTTATTTTTTTGCAGTGTGTCTTCTATTGCCTATTTAAGGCCATTGAATATAATGTAATTGATGTCCATTCTTCAAATTAAAATTGTTGTGTTCTCCATTTTTTTCCCCATATTTTCCTTAGATTTTTTCTTCTTCTTTTAGTTGTATAATATACTTTTTATCTCCTTCCATTTGCTTATTAGTGAACAGAAAGAGCTTTTGACATTATTAATTAACGGTCTCGATGCTTGCTCATATTGCGGAAGAAGCCCAATTACCCATTTCTGGAAACTTTCTGCCTACTGGTAAATATCAGCATGTCACTAACAAAACTGAAGGAGATATAGGATTTTAAAGTACACACATATTTATTTAGATTAGATTAGATTAGTTTAATATTTTGATAAAGTTCTAATTTATTAGAAGTTCTTTTGATTTTAGCTCAGTTAATCTATATATAGATGACATTCATTGTAAATACAACCTTGAATATATGAATACTTAATTTTTTTCATTGCCTAAATTCTTCTTCTTGAATACCATCTCTATTTCATGTTCTTTTTTTAATTGTTCTTGCCAAATTATTACGTCGTGCATCAAAAAGTGTAATTCTTATACAGGCTTTTCAAGCTTCCGGAGAGGCTCGCAGCCGTTATTACCACGAAGACGGATGGAGAGATAGGATCACCTTGTATTAGGACTCTTCCAAACTCGAAAAACCCAACTTGCTCGCCATTGATAAGTAGTGTAAACCAACAGTTAAGTTATTCGTCGTCTTATTTTATCCCAACTTGCTTGCTTTTGTCATATCTAGCTTCAGAAAAACATTATTCCTCTTACTTTTCTGTCCAATTGGTGAACCACTTCTTAGGCAGCGAATATCATTAACATACACTTTTGTAATCTATAACTATGATGCTCGATGTTTATATTAAATGCAGAATTAGACTATATTAAATGTTCCAAATAGGGACATCGATCCAACATTAAGTTTAGCAATGATATGTTCTAATAGGAACACAACATGGTTCAGTGTATCTAATCACATACTCCCGAGTGTTTCTAACTGCGTCCATCAATATCTCAGTTTGTCATATCTAGGTTAGTGCTATTTTCTAACCGAGCAGCTAGCTTATATAAGAGTATTGGAGTGTAATTTTCATATGGTAGCACTGACACCGGCAATCCCCAAATAGTTATCTAAGAGTGATTGGCCTAGATCCCAAGTAAATAGAGGATTTCATTTTTCTCATGTTCAGGAACATTTAGTCTGAACAAAATTGTTTTCCTATCCACAGTCGGCACAATAAGACTCCCTACTTGCTGACGTAGTAGGAAAACCTTACTTATGATAAAGGCATCCGTGTCTTAGTCCTCGGCAAAACTTTCCCCATTATTTTTCCGTTCAAAGCAAATACAAAACGCGAGGAACCAATTCAATCATATATTAACCGAGATGTGCTAATAAATAAAAGGTTGAGAATAAAAATTCGTCCAAGGACTTAAAAAGTTCAATTAAAATCTGATATAACTGAATATAAAAACTTATGAGGACAATATATTTCCCCAATTTTAATTAGAAAATACAAGATCTTAATCGTCATTATTATTTTATCCGTACTAAGAATCAAAATCCCAATCAATGTCAAAATATTTGATTCTCTAAGAGGTACCATGGAACCAATTTATTGTTAAATCCCGGCGTGCAACCCTCCACGCCATATAATTATAAATATAACGTGATTCCACGCATAATCCTATATATATAGTAGGATTCACTTACCAATATAAACTCAAAAAATATTTTCTAATATAGTCTTCATCTCCCATTCCTATTTTGTGCCCTTTTCGCCTCTAATCTCTTGTTCGTTTCATTGATTTTGAACAAGAAAACAGAAAATTGAACCCATTGTTTTTTTCTCAGTTTCTATATCAGAGCAGGTTTCAAGCTTCCGCTTCCGGCGAGCGGCCTAGTGCTGCTCGTCCGGCCCACTTTTTTATTTTTATTTTCTTTTGAAAAAAAAAACTCTCATCATCATCAATGCTTCTATTTGAATAATCATGATTTCACTTTCATGCCCATAACAATTTGATTCTCACTCATCTCAAGTTATCTACCACCATATATATCATTTAAGATCCAGACAATATAAATCAATATCCTACCCGCACCAAATTCAAACACCACCCCACCAACAAAAATTCATACAAAAAAATCAA